CAGAAAGAGAAAAGTTTTATTGATAGAGCTTGTCTGGGAGGTCCAGGGCAAAAAAAAAATCCAAATAGGCATCCAGATACGGCTGGGAAGTAGCAAGTGTGTTTCCAGAAAGCTACTGCCCCTATGGCCCTGGGGACAGCATAATTCAGAGACTGACAAAAGGATGGGGAGGTGGGAAAAGGCAGCATTCCCGAACCGTGGTGAAAGAGCAGGAGTGGGATTTCCAGCTGTACTGGTCTGCTCCATGCTGAGTTTAGTGTGGTGGGAGCAGGAGGTCCATGGGAGACAGAAAGTGGCCCAGGGCCTTGCCTCACAGACTCAGTTTCAAGTCTGCAGGGCTTGTGGCAAAGCTGCGTTTGCATTTGCAGCCTTTCTGGGGTCACTGGGCTGCTGCAGTCTGAGGGGGAGCATCTGAGCAGGCTTAGCACTCAGCATCTGCTTTGGTCTGGATGTCTCAGAGCTTCCTTCCTTCTGTAACTCCTTCAGTCTCTTCAAGGCCAGGTTAAAGGAGGGGGGAAGTGCTTTCAGAAAGAGGCAAAGGAGGATTGTAAATCTGCCAGAAAGCAGCAGACAGCTTTGGGAACGGGGAAGGCCAGGAGCTGCTTGCACTTCCCGCCTCCCACTGCCTCTGGCAGAGCACTGGCCTGGGAGGGAGCAGTTGAGGCCGTGCCAGCCAGAATGAGTGGATTCTGCTTACGGAAGGTTTCCCCTTCTCCATATAAAGTAATTTTGAAGGGAAAATACTTTCTCAGTGACCTAGGAGACTGAAGTGGGTCTATTTTCAGACTTGCAAGAGCTTGTGAGGGTGAGCAGTGTCTAGCTTTCTCTTTGCCTTGCTGTCTCACAGAAGGTGTTCCCTGTCTGTGTTTCAGCGGGGCTGTGGCACTGCAGTGGGGTGCTCAGGAGGGCTGCCCGTGGGAACAAAGCTGGCACCCACTTGAGCTTCAGCCTATGGTCCAGAGCTTCTTAGGTTCATGGTCGGGACTTCCCACACACACCCAAGTGCCAGGGCATACCCCTCAGTGCTTAATGTTGAGCTCACTTTTGCCTTCAGTAGCATACCTGTAGCCCTCTTGAGATCAGCAAAAATGTCACTGCTCTGCTTTCTGGGCTGTGATTTATTTCGTGTGTGTGTGTACACTGAAGGATGATCAGCAAGGACCAGCCACCCCTGAGCTGTGATAGACCATCCAGGTACCAGTGAGGGGCAGGAAGGTGGGCTGGGAGATGCCAGAGCTCTGCCTGGTGCGGCTGAGCAGAGAAGAGGTGTCCAGCACAGGAGGGTTGTCAGGAACAGATGACAAAGCATAGCCTCATCAAAGAAGTCACAGCTGCCTGCTGCTGAGGCAGAGAAGCAAGGACACAACAGCAATGGGAACTCCTCTCCACCTGCTGCTTTTGACATAATGCAGGCTGTCAGCTCCCCGGGATCTGCAGAAGAAACAGTCCCTGTGTTTCAGGCTCATTCACCCTTCCAGAGGAGCTCACTGGCTCTGCAAAATAAGCCAGGGAGAGCTATTTGTCTTGGGAACAATGGGTAGAGCAAGGTGGAAATGCCTGAAGTGCCTTTGGAGAGCAGCTGATCTTGATCAGTCTATGCTGTCCTCTTGGCCAAGGAGCTCCTGCACAGCTGGGGCAAATAATGTCAGGGAGCATCCTGTGTATCCACAGTGCTCCCGACTTGGTGCCTGGTGGGGAGCAGGGACCTCTCACCCATATTGGTGGCTGTGACCATTTTCATCAGCAGGTACAACCCACAAGTCCCCTGTTGCTGTGTCCCCTGGCCACCTCTGGCTGCTTCGGGGGCCTGTGGGAGAGAGCATGAGTGGGACCAGCACAGGCAATGAGCTGGGTGGCTGCCACGCACCTGGGTGTCAGCTTGCTGTGGTGGGAGTCTGACTGCTGCTCTGGCCTGTCATGGTTTGACTTTAAATCTGCTGACTTCTTGGCCTTTCTCATTTATTTTTAGTGGAGGAAGAAGCACTACTCTAGCGTTTTGGCTGTCTGGATTTAAGTCAAATATCTCAAGGAACCACACTGACTCTTCCCATGACACCGTTGCATCTCTTGGGACACGTAGACAGAGGGGGAGGCCTGTGAATGCTCCCATTTGGTTTTGCAGCCAAAGGCATAGTCTCACATTCCTCCCCGTTAGATCAGGATGCACGTCCTGAGCTAGAGTCTGGATCTGCATTGTAAGAGCCAGGCTCTCACTGTGCTGTGGCTGCTGTGCTGAGCCAGCTGGAGCTTTGCTGTGAAGTGGTGCAGGCAGTTCCCCTTTCCAGGGAAGATAAACAATATCTCCTCACACAGGAGGTGAGTAGAAATTCCCTCTCTCTTTTGCCCTGCCAGCAGTTGCTGCAGAAAAATCCTGGTATGACCTGCTCCTGGCAGGGTGAGCAAACACTCACAGGCAGAGAGAAAACTCAGTGGCAGCTGAGACTGAGACAACCTCAGGCAGTGGATTTAGCAGTGTGTTGAATGCTGCCAGTTCACAACCAGGGAAGAATTAAGCCAGAACCTGGAAGAACAGAACAGTGCCTTAAAATCCACCTGGCTTTTAGCATAAAAATCAGTTTTCCCTCCTTTCTGCAGTGGGAGATGGTGGTCATCTGAAGGCAGCTGTGTTTCTCCTGCCTCATAGAGAACCCCAGCAACCAGTGATACAGATGGTGTCACAGAGGGGAAAAGGTAGCCCTGCCTCTGAGGGCCGGGCCCCAAGCTCTGTCCTGGGAAGGGCACCTTGCACATGGAGGGCTTTGCACAGCTGGAGCAGCAGCCTGCAGCTGCAGCAGGCCATGCTGGGTGCACATCTGCTGGAGATCCTTGCAGAACATGGTGGGAGCTAAGCAGCCCAGGGATATCCGTGTCCCACCAGAGCCACCAAGTGCCTTCTTATCCAAGGGACACCAGAAATAGAACAGCAGGGCTGTGCAGGAAACGCCACACTGGGGAATGGAAGCAGAGCGTGTGACCTGAGGTGGCCCTGCCGTGGGGATGGCCATTCCCCAGGGATGGCAGTACCCTGGGCTGGCCACAGCAGGGGCCAGGCAGTGCTTCAGGCAGGAGCCTGCTGGGGTGCCAGCCCCACAGATCACCCACTGCAACTGTGCTGTGACTGTGCTCTGGGGAACAACCTCTGACGAGGTGTTGCTGAGAGTGCAGAGCTGGGTATGGTCCTGAGGTGCCGATCTGCTCTGGGCCACCTGGAGCAGGGATAACTCCAGCGCCCTTCCAGACAGGAAAAGGTGCTGGGACTCCAACATACCCCTTTCCTGGCCAGCACCCAGGAATCAATTCATGCAGCAGCACAACCATCAACAGGGTAAGAGACAATGAAACGCTGCTGAAATCCTTTTCTCAGCTGAGAGACTCAGTTGTGTGCAGATGAGGAGCACCTGGGTTGTGATGTCTGTCAGGAAACCAGCCCGTGCTGATCATTAGGTGTGGTTTTTACCCATCACCAGGGGCTACACATAAACGATCCCTGCAGCTGCCTCCTGTTAAAACCAGGACTGGGATACCTCTGTAATGGAGAATTTGGATTGCAGCCACCCCATGTCTCTTAGCACCTTCCCACCAGCAGTCTGTGTACAGTCATTCCTGGGCAAGGAAGTCTGGGAAGAGAAGAGCAAACACTTCTCTAGGATCATGCCAGCTGCTCAGAAGTGGGGACCCACCTTGGAATCCCTTGGACTAAGACAAAGAGATGGCTGCTGTCCTCTTGCTTGTGATACCGGTGTGGATCTTCCCAGATCCTGAGGAGCAAAAAAGACACCAGCTTTTTGCTGGAAGACGTTGGTGCAGTGGGATGCTCCCCACTGCCTGCAAGTGGGCTGCAGAGCAGAGAGCACATGCAGGGCTGAGGTCAGTGTATGTTCAGGAGCCCTGAAGGAGGATCAGGACCCAGATCTACCTTTTATAGTGCTGGGAACAAGGCATGGTCTGTGGGTTAGCACACCCGGGGGCTTCGTCAGGCTGGCTCTGGAGTACTTGTTCACATAGGAAATGTCTTCTCCTGGTGGAGACTAATGGGAGCTTCAGTTTCCTGTTGCTGCCTGCATCTTCAGAGCAGAAGGGGAAAAACTGCTGTGTTCTTCAAGCTATCAATAAGTGGAAATAAACACTATGTGCTTCTTTGGTCTGCACTTCCTACTGTGGGGAATTAATAGCTGTTTTTTGCAAAACAACCTCACTAAAGTGGGATTGAAAAGAAAAGGCCATTCTTTCCTTTCTGGGATATGGGTTAGTCTTCAACATTTCCCAGCCTGAGGGGTAAACATTTTCAGCCAGATATGCAAAACAGCTCTGTTCTCATCTGGCTTTGGAAACAGCTCCTTGTTTAACTAGGGATTGGAACTCTGTGAGAAAAAACAGAGCTCTGCATTCACCTTTTCCTTCCAGGATCCCTTCTAAAGAGAGCTCTGCCACCCTCCAGCCAGCCTCCTTTGGCTGGATATCACACGCAGGTAAAACAGTAGCAGCATAACATTGAATTCTGCTAGCCACAGGCTTTGCTGCAGATTAAAATCATGTGGGGGAAAAACGGTGCTGCAGAGCTGCCCAAGCCCTCTGTGGCATGGGAGAGTGCATGGAACCACCTTGTCTCCTGGGGGACTTCTTTCCTCCTTGGCAGCTGAATGTCAGTGATTCACTTGGCTGCATGGTGAGCAGAGGCAGCAGTTTGTAAAATCCTGCTCAGCCCCTGAGGTAACAGAATACAAACACTATCTCACCGCTGACCACCTGAACTGCACATCATTCAAGTTTCTGTCTGGGACAAATGCCCATCAGCTGAAAAGCTTAAGGTCAGATGCATATGTCACTTTGGAGAGGAAAATGCTGTGATGTGGGATCAGCCCAGCAAGCTTTGCTCCAAGCAGAGACCCCCTTCACCTCATCCTCAAAACCCATCAAAAGTGATTAGTCCCACTTAAAAGGCTAGAAAGGAGACAGGCTTGCAGTCACCTGGTGCTTAAAATAATTTCTCCCTTTTGTAGGACCCTCTATTGTGACCCCTCCCAAGGATATCTGGAATGTGACAGGAGCACAGATCTACCTGAGCTGTGAAGTCATGGGCATCCCAACCCCTGTCCTCATCTGGAACAAGGTAAGGGCCCTCCTCAGAGCTCTTAGACCATAGCAAACCTGAGGCAGCTGAAAGTGCCTGGAAAGCATAAAGGCCATAGCAGATCCCTCCGTACAAACACACTTCTTCAGTGACTTCTCCCATTAGTGCAGTTCTGTCCACCCCCAAACATCTGGCTTTGCTTAGTCTTGAGTCATTGCTTTTCCTAAACTCTTGTTGATCCTGAGGCAGAACAGGATTTGTGTTTCTCTTGGTAGCGTCTGGTATTCAGAGAACGCAGGGAAGGTCCCTTGACCTGCTGTCACCCTGCTGGCAGCAGTGACTGAGGTGGTGGGACATGGCTCATCTGTGTTGGGAACACAAGCCATGTGGGGCAGTTATCTCTGGGATCCAGCAGTGTTCTGATTTTGGCAGCATGCTGGTAACACCTGGCTTGGGGCGGGGACCAATGTTGAGCAGAGGCTCCTAGCCCTAGGGCTGAGAGTCCCTGCATAGCCCCTGTAGTCTCTTCAAATACCACAGGTTTGTGAACACTCAGCAGATGTCTTAAAATTAAGCTGAAGCAGTACTAAGCTTAAGAATACTACAGAGAAAAAAAACATATTGGCCCAAAGGTTGCTCTGTCCTGGGACAGCAAGCTCAGAGCAGACTGTCGGGTGAGTATACAATGTAGGCATGGTGACCCAGGCAGCATTTTCTGCTTGTTTACAAGCAGACACCGTGGTTACACTGACTGTCAGTGCTGCTCCGCTTTTCCTGCCTCTTCCTCATGGCCAAGGGACTGCTTAACCTGGAGACAGCAGGGGCTGACTACCACTTGTTCTGTGCTGTGCTCTGGGTTCAGATATGCAGTACTGGGGAACAGCTGCACTGCTGTGCTTTCTTGTTGATGCTGTGCCCACCAGGAGGGACTACCTGCTTTGCTGCAGCAGAAACCTCCGGGGATGTTGCTTGCCTGTTGGGAAGAGGAGAGGTCATGCAAGGAGAGCCCATTCCGGAGAAACATGCAGAGACTCATTTCTCTGCTGCTGCCAAGCTAAAAAGCCTAATGGTCAGGGAAGTTGCAGGGGGAGCCTCTCCAAACAAGGACAACAGTCAGCTCCTGCTGTCCCCGCAGTCCCAAGCCAGAAGGCAGCTGCTCCAGCCTGCAGAAATGGATCAGTGTGTGGCTACCAGCAGCTGCAGGCAGCCAAATCTTCCTTGTTCACACATACATCATTTGATGGGCTAAATGTACCCTTGGGAACATGCACACGAGTTCTGTGAGACTGTCAGCACAGGGCATGTTTGCACACCCCAATCCCAGTACCATCCACACCAGAAAACTCCTGCCCTGTCTGT